GGACCCATGAAATCTATTCCCTGAACATGAAAAATTTCGACTACTAACATATTACTCATGGGTATTTCATATTTTCTTACTCATGTTACCTATATATTGACATGAAATATGTGTTCTACTAAATTCTATAGAATCTCTAATGATTGTAGGCTAATAAAAACTACACCGAATTTTTTTTGCAACTTTTTTTCGTCCAAAGAAATGTCCTCCTTAGTTAGATGAATGGCACATGTTAATAATGTTATGATATTCTTCTTCAAGAACACATCTCCTTAAAATTTGATCATTGCCCAACTAATATAAATCAAGATCATGCCAAAAATAATTTCTAATCTTAGAGAAGAAATGATGTTTTATGTTCTTATCTCACTATTCTAGAATTTTTCTAGAAATCAGAAAATTAACAATATGTGCATACCATGGTGATGGTTGATGTTGAGCTGCCATCAATTGTTCATCTAGAAATGTGTCTTGTAAAGGTTCTACATTTATTCTTGTATCACTTAATCTAGAAAGATGGTCAGCAAACAACATTCTCGAAACCTTTTTTATCTTTTATTTCTAAGTCAAATTCTTACAACAATAAATACATCTTAATAAACATGGCTTTGCATCTTTCTTATTTAAAAAATATTTTAATACTACGTGATCAGTATAAATAATAGTTTTAGGTCCCAAAATATATGATTTAAACCTTTCTAATAAAAATATTACAACAAACGACTCTTTTCCAATCGTGGTACAATTTAATTGAGCATTAGATATAGTTTTACTAGCATATGAAATTACTATGGGTTTTGACTCTTTTGTTTGTCCTAGAACGGTCCCCACTACATAATTCAATGCATCACACATTATTTCAAGGGGAAAGGACCAATCAAGGGCTTGTAAAATGAGTGTCTCAATAAGTAATCTTTTTATTTCAGAACAAGACTCAAAACATTTCTCATCAAAATTAAAAGGCACATCTTTAGATAATAACATGGTGAGAGGTTTAGAAAATTTTGAAAAATCTTGAATAAATTTTCTATAATAACCTACATGACCCAAGAAAGATCTAATCTGTTTTACTGAATTTGGAGGTTTCATTTTAGATATAATATCAATTTTTGCTCTATCCACCTCTAAACTATTTTCACTCACAATATGACTCAACACAACTCCCTCTCTAACCATAAAATGTGATTTCTCCCAACTCAAAACTAATTTTTTCTCTATACATTTCTCAAGTACATGCTATAAATGATTTAAACATTCATCAAATGATTCACCAAAAATAGAAAAATCGTCCACAAAAATTTCCATATATTTTCTTGTCATATCAGAAAAAATAGACAACATACATCTTTGAAATGTGGCTAGATAATTACACAGACCAAAAGGCATGCATTTAAAAGTAAAAGTACCAAATGGACAAGTGAAAGTTATTTTTTCTTGATCTAAAGGGTTTATATAAATTTGATTATAACTAGAGTATCCATCTAGACAACAAAAAAAGTTTTTTTCAACTAATTTTTCTAGAATTTGATTAGTAAATGGTAGGGGAAAATGATCCTTTCTAGGAACTGAATTTAATTTTCTATAATCAATGCAAACCCTCCAAGTGTTAGTTAATCTTGTTTGTATTTCATCCCCATTTTTGTTTTTTATAAACGTGATCCCTGATTTTTTTTGGCACCATTTGTATAGGACTAAGCCATTTTCTAGTTGAAATAGGATAAATAATATCAACAACCAACTACTTTAAAATTTCTTTTTTTACAATTTCCATCATGTTAGGATTTAATCTTCATTGTGGTTCCCTGCTAGTCCTAGCCCCCTCCTTTAGATATATATTATACATGCATACACTCATATCAATGCCTCTTAGATCATTCATTTTTCACTCAATAGCCTTCTTATTTTTTCAAAGTACATCTAATCATTCTTCTTCCTATTCATCACTCAAATCAACTACAATAATAATAAGAAATGAATTATTTTCCTCCAAAAACATATATTTTAAACTAGAGGGAAGAGGTTTCAACTCTAAATTCAGATGATCTTCCTCTTTCTTTTCTCTCAAATTTATATTCTCTACTTCCTCTAATTCTTCCAGCACATAGTCATCAATAACATCTGGATCATGAAAATCATCTAGAAGATCTATGGTATGTTAATCATATACTTGGGATTTCTTAAGATCATTTGCTACCTCAAAAATTTTAATTTCTACTGATTGATCTCCATATCAAATTTTCATAATACCTATGAGAAAATCAATATTCATCTTTGTTGTATGCAAAAATGATCTTCATAGGATGATTGGTGTATCATAAAACTATCTATTAAAATCCATTTCCAGCACTACAAAAACAATTGGAAATTTACACCCTTTAATTGTCACTATCATATTTTCTAAAATATTTTTAGGATGTTTTATGGATCTATCAACAAATTGTAAGGTAATAATAGAAGGTTTAAGATTAGTAATATTAAATTTATCACAAATACTTGGAGGTAATAAATTAATACTAGCATTAGTGTCAAGTAATGTATTTCGAAAAATGGATCCACCAATACCACACAAAATTAAAAGGGCACCCATATCCCTCAATTTATATGGTAATTGATTTAATAATAAAGCACTAGTATGTATAGATAATTTTTCTACTCTAGGTGTTCTTTTTGGTGTATACATTTCTTTCAAAACTTTAACACTTTTAGGAATATGTTTAATGGTAGTGAGTAAAGGAAGATTAATTTACATATCTTGTAAAATTTTCTTTATTTCTTCATTGTGTTCCTTTTTCTTTCTTTGTCTAGGCTCTAGAGCTATAGGAAATGGAACGGTTGTCCTCTCTTTCGAAATTTCCTTGGTAGAATCTATAAAATCTTCTTCTACTCCTATTTGATTTTGTTTTGGGCTGTCTATCTTTTCCTTTTCTTCTAATGTTTGGGGAAAAGATCAAGTAAGATCTTATCACTTCTTAATACATTCACTATTTTAACATTTTCATTTCGTGGGTTTTTCCTAGATTCATGCTACTAGACTCCCCTCATTGAAATCCTATTGTTGGATAGTTCCCTAGATTTTCTAGGGGCTGGCTAGGTAGTTGTCCCTCTTCTCTCTTATTCCCAAGAGCCTCTATAATTTGTTTATGTTGCAGCATCATTTGATTCATAATTTGTTACATCATTTGACTCATTTGTTACATCATTTCCATAATATCAGATTGGGTTTGAGAGGGCTGATTTTTTTGAAATCTGTTTTTTTATTTTAGATGAAATTCAGAGTTTGAATTAGGTCTAAGTGCTTCTAGATTTTGAATATTATTTGGGTCTCTCCATGAAAAAATACTCCTCTAATTAGAATTATAAGAATTTCACACTTTAACACAAATATAAGTCTATTTATCATGAGTTAAGGCTAAAACTATATTATTTACTAATTATTAACTCATGATAATAAAGACTTATAAACCCCACCAGACTCAGTTTAGGCTTTATAGTCCCTTTAGGATTTAGAGGCTTCTCTTAGACTGCATTAACTTCTATCATAATTATTTTCTAATATTTGAATAGTAATCTCCATATATCTTCACTATAGTCTAGTTTCTGATAATAGATTTTATGGTAATTATGTGTATTTATAGTCTTTTTGTGAATGATGTTAAAATTTGGTTGGTGCATTGTTGAGTTTAATTCATTCACTTCTTATATGTTCTTATGTTTGTCTTTTCTATTATAAGCTATAATTCTTTCCCCTTGTGGTTATGTTAGTCTTCCATTATAGTTTTTTAATGTAGGCATCTGACTTCTAATTAGTCATTGGTGGGTTCAAGTCACATGAAGCGTGTCTTTTCCTGCACTATTGTTCTCTCCTTAGCTTCATTTTATCTATTTTATAGCCTTATACATTGTTTCTTCATATGTATGATAACAAGAAATAAAGGTTAACTAAATAAAAATATTCAATATTTGAGGACTACATATGAATAAATATGTCTAGAGATGTTCATATAAAACACTTGGAAAACACCTAATTATACTTCATTAACTTTTTTGCATTTATTTCCTTCATAAGAAATTACAATCCAAACTTGAATTTTTTTTGCAAATATATACATATATATATATTACACACACTATATTCAAGCAATTTTTTTCAAAATGGCATTGCTAAAAATAACAAGAGTATCACATTAAGAGTACACAATATAAAGCCTTCTACTATAGTGGATAAAATTTATCTCACAAGGTAGTATAATGTATAAAACATATCTCTACAATAATATTTTAACCAAATACTAAAATTATTATTTATAATAATCAGGTGTGTATTTAGTGTATCTACTAACATTCAAGACATCTTCTCTACCCTCAATAGAGATATTTTAATTATTTCTACTTGTGTTGCTTTAGATTTTTTTATTTTAGATCTTGGTAAGAAGTGAGCTGACTTATAACATCCAACACGTAAAGCACTGTAGTAAGAAATAATACAAAATATTGTTTTGGCGATAAGGTATAAGAAATTATGTACTCAATATTCATTAAGTAATGAATAATAATTGAGATACAAATTGAAACAGCCAAATTTAAAAACCCACACACACACAACTCATCACGTGCATGTCACGCACCGACGGCTATTACCTTACACTAACGTTAGAAATCCCTCTGTACGACTCTCTCTCTCTCTTCCCCGCTCACTCTGGGATAAACAACCTGTTAGTTCCTTTCGGGTGTGGTCGGGGCGGGAGTGCATCCCTGCGTCCCACGTGTCAGGTGGATGCGACGAAGATCCTTCCGGAAAGTCCGCTGCACAAGCTTGCCGCTCCGCGGCATTTGGATACCCCGCACGCCCGCAACTGCCCTGCTCTACAGTTGAGTTCCCGCCAGGGCCCAGCCCGCCAACGTTCAAACTCTCCTCTTCTCCCTATATCTCTTCCTCCTCTTCTCCCTCCACCTCTCCATCCTCTTTTCTCCCGGCATCGTCTTCCCCGAGGAAGCTGAGGATGGCGGGCTTCCACGGGCGACAGGGCTTCCACCGCCGCCACGCCCACAGACAGTGGGGTCCCCCGCCGTCTCCTCCCCACTACGGCGGCTTCTCTGGTTACGCTCTCCCTCCCCCGTATCTCTCCCCCATTTACCAGCCGGGATGGAGCTATGGCCCCCCCCAGCCCATGCCTCCCGCTCCTTCTCCTCCTCCGAGTACTCCTCGTCTGGGGACCGAGATCGTCACCCTCCTTCTGCGGACGCAGATCGAATACTACTTCAGGTACCCCTCTCTCCGTCTCTGTACCGATTTCGATGATCGCCGATCTTGCGCCTGGATCCATTAACGACGGACTGGAATCTGCGCAGCGAGGACAATCTGGCGAGAAACGTCCACCTGAAGATGCAGATGGACGAGGAAGGCTGGGTGAGCGTGCATACCATCGCCAGCTTTCCGAGGGTAAGCGACTGTCATTCCGACTGCTGCCGCCGATTTCTCTCCCCTTGGATCTCCGTGGGGGGTTGAACCAAGGCATTTCCTCGCAGGTGAAACGGCTGACGAACGACGTGGTGCTCATACTGCGGTCGCTGCAGCCTTCTCCCACCGTGGAGGTGGAGGTGATGGTGAGTCTTCCGACCCTGGATCTGGAAACCTGATCGAACCTGTGGATTTTTTGTCTAGTTCGGCTGATGTGTGCGTCGATCTTGACTTCGCAGGATGGCAAAATGAGGAGAAGGGGGACGTGGAAAAAGTGGCTGATTCGAAGGTAGAAGGAGCCTCCTGTCGAGCAGGGTACCGGACACCAGTGGAAGCTCATTTTAATTCTACCTCCGCCTCTCTCTCTCTCTCTGTCGCTGTCTTTACCGGGGCTACGTATCGTCTCCCACCTCCTCTGTAACCTGTAAGGCCTTTTTCGCCTGTAAACCGGCCGGCGGCGCCAGGATGGCGAGGTTCTTGAATAGGTTAGAACCACAAGAGAACTCATGTAGAGGGTTTTTATGAAATTACTGTAACGGAATTGCCATGCAGGGCGAGAAAGGACCCAACCCCGTAGGATAAAAAATGGGCCGAGTAAAACGGGCCGAAGTGAATAGGTGGGTGGGTTCTGTCCGGCAGGATCGGTAAAGGATCTGTATGCCTTCCATCGAGCCTCTCTTGTACCTCCACAGTGGACCGTTCGGCAGATTGATGCAGGCTCTTGGTAAGGGGTCGTCGGTACTGTGGGCACACCCCGCCTGAAAGCTCAGCGGATCCTCTTCTCACTTGTTTCAACGAGTGCACTTTTCTCGATTTAGTTGTATGGAATTTCGAATTAAAAATACCCTCTACAAGCGTGCAAAATTTGGGGGCCACACCTGGAAAACTACTAAACTTCGTGAGCCACATTACATTTCACTGCATGAACCATCTCTTGGTTACAGGACCTGGATTTTACCAACAAGCTCAGGAAAGGTGATCGGTCGAACCAATGCCAAAGCAATTTTCAGTGGAGCTAAATAAATCCCAATCTAATGGCCCCATTTAATTGAGTAACAAGATGCAAAGCACAAGGAGAGAGAGAGAGAGAGAGGGAGAGAGAGGGAGAAGGAGAGAGACAGAGAGAAGAACAACTAAGATCAGCTCAATTATTCAGAGATGTGGAATATGAATCACATATTCCCATTAGTCATAACATAGTTCAGGGGAGGAGGTGGGGAGATCGAGACCACTCAAGTTTGATATGTTCTCCCTCTCTCTCTCGCCCTGGGAACCCTAGACCTTATGTAAGGTAAAGGACAGAGACATGGGGAGTCAGGGGTTTTATTTTGTCTGAAATAAGGTGAAGCAGCAACGCCTTTGGAACCACTCCACATCTGAAATAAGGACTCCTATTAAAAATGTACCTCTTTCTCTCACTTTTTTTCTCTCTCTATCTCACCTCCCTCCCCTTCCTCTTTCACATCGGAAGCCCTCGACGTTTCTCCATTTCTTGATTTACAGCAACCAGTAAAACAGTGTACTAGAACCGTCCTCCATGAAGAATTGTCATCAGTCCTCTTTGAGTGAATACATGTTCTTGGCATTTTCATCTCTATCTTCTTCTCCTTCTTCGTTCTTCTTATGGAAAGCATTTGGCTATTTTTCCCTCATTCCTTTAACTAGAAGCAACGTGTCACATTCCTGAGAATGGCTCGTTTTCTAAAACGGGCATCGATCAGTCCATTCTTCTCCCTTTTTGTGTACATTATATCATCATGGAAGATGCAGCTTTGGTGTGGGTGACTTGGCTTTGTTCTTTCTGAGAGGGAGAAGGCAATGTAGTGTTCATGTGGACTTGTGCACGACAATAGATTTATTTACTTGTATCCTCTAATCCAGTACCCGTTTTCCACGTTATACTACTTGAGAAGCTGCTACAGATCGTGAGGAATTTTCCTGGTGATGAATTCAGTCTTCGACGGAAGTTCACAATCGACTTGGAGTTCTTAGATTTGAAGGTACCCTGTAAATGTACCGGTCACCCTGTGCCATTTTTTTCTCTGCAAGTTTCTTTTCTTAAAGATATGCAATGTGTCCAATTTTTTTGAACAAAGTACGTATTATTCTTGGCCCATTAGAAATGTTGTCGATGATGAATTTCGTTGACAATCCAACTGGTAAGGAGGAAGTTCAGTAGGTTTGAAAATTTGTGAAGATCCATATGATCCTTTTTCATACATGCTCGCCCCAATGATGTTTGCTCCAATTTCAATCTAATTTATAGATGTATATATATTCATACAACTTCTCTCAGTGTTTAGGATTGAAATATGATCATCAATCGCTAATCGGGTTCTGCTCCTCTTTTCTTTCTTCTTCTTTCCATAAAACCAAGGTAGAGAGGCATCTTCAATTTGGCACTTTGAGCAATTGATGCAGTCTCTAGTGACAAAGTCCACACACTTGTGCCTCTCTCACATGATGGAAGAGGATATCCACTCAGACATCAACATGAACATGGCCAGCAGCAAGTTGTGTGCACACAAGGCCCTCTTGATGGTGAGCTCACCTATCTTGAATTTGTTAAAAAAATTGAATGAAATAAAAATCATGGGTTGCCTCCCATGCAGCATTGAATTTAATCTCTTCAGCTGGCCAACACTTAGATCATATAAGATGATCTATGACCATCAATATATATTTTTATCCCATGGTAAGTTTCATGATATTTTTTTTAGATTTAGTATAAATTCGTCTGCTTTATATAAATATACCTTGACATACCTTCTGTAAAAAAATAAAATAAAATAAATTCTCAAAAATAATATTTTCATTTTGAAAAGAACCTCTCCTCATTTTTATCCTATTTTGTAAGGCTCTCATTCAATAGTAAATACTTTCTATTAATACACTATAAAATGTGATCCGGTCATGTAATTTTCAAATTAGCACTTACTCAATCTAAAATTTTTTCATCTAAAATGATATTTTTAATTCTTCCACTCACCTATTTCTTAATGTATTCTTTTATCTGCATAATATTTCCTCGCTCTATTTTATCTTCTCTACATATTCGTTCAATTTGTGAGGAGTGAAATATTTCAAGCTTAAACATAATTCTAATGGGCTGTGGGTTTTGAAGGATGAAAGAATTGTCTTTTTTAATTTGAGATTTAATGAATTCATTAAAATTCAAATTTTTTTGCCTATTAGTTGAATCATATTCATTATTGTCTTTTTTTACCATTAGTTGAATCAATTCTTTTTCTAGTTTTTCGTTTCTTAACTAATCCAATTCTTCATCTTTCCAAGAGTTGTCTACTAACTTCAGTATATGATATGCATCATCATCCTCACTATCAACTTCCATGGTTGTAAAATTCTAATTAGATTTATTAATTTCTTCTCTTACATCTCTCAAATCAATTGATTTTTCTTCACTTGAAACATATTTTTTCTCATTTTTGTCCTTACTCTCTTCTACTAAAATTTAGATGATTTTTCCATAATCAAATACTGTTTCTTCATCTAAGGACTCTTTCTCCTCATCATCCTTACTATATTCATTCATCAATTGTGAGTAATAAATAATTTTATTCAAGTTTTCTGCTACTATATTTTCAGTCTTAATATTCTCATTTACTTCTAATGGCTCATCTATTTCTTCTAATAATTAAGAATATAGATCAGGTAAAATATTCTCACTTAATATATTTATTATCCTAATATTTTTATTTTGTGAGTTTTTTTAAAAAAATTTAGCTAGATTCTCCTTACTGAAATCTTACTATTAGATAGTTTCCTGAATTTTTTGTGAGTCGACTAGGTGATTGTCCCTCTTCTCTCTTATTCTTAAAAGCCTCTATAAATTGTTTTTGCTGCAACATCATTTGTTTCATTGTTTGCTGAATCATTTGGCTCATTTGCTGCATCATATTTGTAAAATCAAGTTGGATTTTGGAAGACTGATTTTTCTGAAATCTATGTTCTTGTTTTGGACAAAATTCAGAATTTATATTGAGTCTAAGTGCTTCTGAATTTTGAATATTATTTAGATCTCTCTACAAAAAAATATTCCTTCAATTAAGATTATAAGAATTAGAAAAATATTCTCTATTTTTACTAAAATCATGGGGTACTTGCACTTGCTCTTACCAAGGCTGAAATGAGTGATCAAAATTATAACATTGAAATTCTAAATGGTCATTTTCATTATACATAGGACATGTACTATATGCATTAAATTGAAGGTTATGAGGCTTTTTAATATTGTCAATAAGTAAATCAAGTTTTTTTAATCTATAATTAATCTGATTAACCTCATTTTTTAAACTAGTATCATCATCATGATGTAATTCATAAATTCTTCTTTCCTTATCCCTTCATATAACTCAAAAAAGGCTTGATTTCTAGAATTTTTACTTAAATTCTCATAAATTCTATAAATCTCATCAAGGGTTTTCTCCCAAAAAGCTCTTCCACATATAGAGTCAACCATATTTCTATGTTTTTCTAATAATTTATCATAAAAAATTCTATTAATGTGCCACTTTGGTATAGCATGATGAGAATAGTTTATGAGTAAATTTATAAATTTTTTTCATATTAGATGTAAAGATTTTTTGACTTTTGAGCAAAACTTTATATATGTTTTCTCATATTTTGAGTTTTTTCTAAGGAAGAAAATTTTCAAAGAAAAGGTTTGTTCTGTCTTTCTAACTAGTTAATTCTCTATCTAATGTGGATAACCAATAACTAGTATTGTTCTTTAAGCTATGAGGAAATAATTTTATCTTAATAACTTTTGGTGTAACTTGAAAGAGATTAACTAAATCACAAACTATGTAATTTTTTTTAAATTGTTGATGGGGTTTTTCTAAAGGTAATCCATGAAAATTAGAGAGCATTCAGAAACTTTTTGAATTTGTTTTGAATTTAACAATGGTTGCTAATGAGACTTTAATATTGGATGCTCATTGATATGAATCAGGGATGTTATAATTTTTTATGGCCATGGGATTATTATTAGTTTGACTTGTACTTCTTTTAGGATCTATCAAAATTAATTTTTCTTTCAGATTTTTTGTTTTGAACGAAATAGTGAAATGAGTTTCTAACCTTAGATGCAAGGATCTTCTACAATACATAAATATCAATAAATTACAGAAAAAATTAATAATTGTTACCCTCCTTCAGTATGCTCCAGTCTTTGCCTTGCTACTCTTTATTCTTTTAAAAAAAAAAAATTATAAAAAAAGAAAATAAAACAAGAGTTAATATTTTTGTGTACTCTAAGAAAAAATAGAAAAAAACTAAATATTATGTAATACATTGACGTGACTTAGTCGTTGTATAGTAAATCACACAAATTTAAAATTTATAAAACTAGAAAATAGAAATTTTTAGATACTTAGAAGTATTTCTAAACAAATATATCAATTATAATTCAATAAAACTTTCAAAATAGTGATAATTTTCCAAGTCAATTACAAGGATGTATTATTATATATGGTAATTATTTAAAATTTTGCTCAAAGAATACTATTTTCTATAAATTTTGTACTAGTAAATGAAAAAAATATATTTAAAATTCACAAAAAAGGGAAATAAGGGTGCAGACATCAAGATGACGTCAGCACCCGGTGAAGGCAAATTTAGTGAAAATAGAGTTCCGCTCGGTGATTCTTATGTAAGCGATTACAAACAATTTAATTGATCAAATTAAGATCTATAAAAGCCAAAAGAATCGTAATGAAATGAAGTATATCTTGGTAAATTTAAAATCAACAAATTATCACTAAATGAAATAGAAATTAAGTTGAAAGTAGGAAAATAGAGTTCCGATGTCGCGGTGGTGATGCATCGGCGATGCACCAGAATTTTGAGTGTTTGGGAGGATAGTCGTGTAGAGTCCACGGCCTCAAAGGCTCTCCTTGGATAAGGATGATGTGGGCAATCTCTAGATCTCCTTGCGAAGTCTAGAGATTAATGAAATTAGTCATCAAATCATCTCCAATGGCTATCACCTGGTAGAGCGGAAA